CACGAACCCTACCCGCCCCATGCGGCCATCTCCTCTCACCGCCTCCACCATCCGCGATATGCCGCTCGACTTGGTTGATCGCATCAGATCATTTCCCCTGTTTGTGTCTGCGCCAGAGGAGTTCTTGGCTGCCATTGGAAACCATTTGAGACCACAAGTTCATGCTGCACAAGACCACATTCTCACAGAGGGCGATGATGCCAGAGCAATGTACTGGCTGGTGCGGGGAGTCGTGGCTGTCACCTCTAGAGACGGTGAAGCCATTTATGCAGAACTCAAGCCCGGTGCCTTTTTCGGAGAAATCGGTGTGTTGATGGACGTCCCGCGAACCGCGACCATTGTGGCTCGGACAAAATGCCTTCTCGTGGTCCTTAAGAAGGAAGACCTCCAGGCCGAGTTACCGAAGTTCCCGGATATGGAACGGGCGATTCGTCACGAAGCTCAAGAGCGGTTAAACATTCTCAAGAAGAAGCGCCAAGAAGGCGGGCAACTTATCAAGCCTGCCTCGGCACAGACCAATGGAGCAAGAGAACCGGTGCCAGGAGAGGTGTCTACGGGTGAGGTAGGCACCATCAGAGAGGGTACCATCGTCAACTCTAAGAAGCGAAAATCTCCCAGTCCTGGCGCCATTGAAGACCCTGCTGCAGGCAGTGCTCTCGGGAGTGGTTTCGTCAACGTGCGACGAACATTACGAGAGCTGCCTTTGTTCTCCACATTACCTCCTGACATCCTCCATCAGCTAGGACTCAGCGTCCAGCCAAAGACATACCCTCCTTTTACAGACATCATCCAACAAGGATCGGCTGGCAACGAGATCTTCTTCATTGTTCGAGGTGAAGCAGAGGTTGTTCACGAAGCACCAAATGAACCCCCAAAGAAGATGGCTCGTGCGACTTATCTCAGGCCAAGATTAAAAGCAGGTCAATACTTTGGAGAAGTGGCCAGTCTTGGGTTGTCCGAGGGTCGAACAGCGACGGTGCGGGCAATTACAACGGTCGAGTGCTTAATGATCCCTGGAGACGCATTAGACACGCTTTGGAGCCGATGCCCACCCGATATCAAGTCGCAGGTTGAGGAGACAGCTCGCAAGAGATATAAAAATTCTGACGAAGACGTTGAAATGTCGGAGGCAGACCCTATGGAACGAACCAGCAAGTCAGATCCCCCGACCCCGACAACACCCAAAGCTCTACCGCACGTCACCTTCACGACACCCTCAAAACCGACGTCACCTACAAAGGACGATATGGAAACGATGGAACCCAAGGACCCTGATCCTTTCTTGAGCGTGGACATGGAGAATATGCGAAATAGGCGACGCAATTCCCTGGCCCCGCCTACTCCGCAATCCGACAACGCCTCATCAATAGTGACGAACGGCTTCCGAACTCACCAGATTGAGTCGACACCTCTTCGCTTTTCCTTTCCGCCACAGTCGCCACCCGAGCAAGAAGCGCCCGTCAAGCGAGCTCGGACACTGCCACGGCGTCCACATCCGGCCCAGGCCCCAGCTCTTCCCGACGATTTGCTCGTGGAAGCATTCCGATACCTCAATGTTGCGGAGCTGATGAACGCGCGAATCATTTCGTCTCATTGGCGCAAGCTGTTGACGACGCACCCGAAGGTCTGCCTGGATTTGGACTTGTCTGAGCACAATAGAAGAGTCACAGATCTGGCCATCCGAACAGTCATTGGTCCTTTCGTCGGCAACCGCCCGGAGACGATTGACATTAGCAACTGCTTCCACATTACCGACGACGGTTTCCGATGTCTTTGGGAGAGCTGTGGCCGCAATGTTAAGCGATGGCGCATGCGATCTGTGTGGGATGTCTCTGCGAATCAGATTCTGGAGATGGCCGAGAACGCAAAGGGCCTGGAAGAGATCGACTGGAGCAATTGTCGCAAGGTTGGTGACAACTTACTAGCACGTGTCGTAGGCTGGGTAGTACCCGAGCCGCCACCACCCCAACCGCCCAGCAAGCAGGTGGTGATATCTAGCTCTTCGGCCAAGTCGAAACCTCAAAAGGCCGTGACACAGCAGGCTCAACAGAGAGCTGCAAACATCCCCAAGCCGGGCACCATCATTGGCTGTCCCGCCCTCAAGCACCTCAACTTGTCGTATTGCAAGCACATCACTGACAGGTCGATGGCTCATCTTGCCGCTCATGCGTCCAATCGGTTGGAATCGCTATCCCTGACACGATGCACCTCAATCACAGACGCCGGCTTCCAGTCTTGGGCTCCATACCGGTTCCTGAACCTGTCTCATCTGTGCCTGGCAGACTGCACCTACCTCTCTGATAATGCGGTCGTCGCCCTCGTCGGTGCGGCCAAGAACCTGACACACCTGGATCTGTCCTTTTGCTGCGCTCTTTCTGATACTGCCACGGAAGTCGTCGCCTTGGGACTACCTCAGCTGCGCGAACTCCGCCTCTCGTTCTGCGGCAGTGCCGTCTCGGATGCAAGCTTGCAGTCGGTTGCACTACACCTGAACGAGTTGGAGGGTATCTCGGTCCGCGGCTGCGTTAGAGTCACTGGTGGCGGCGTCGAGAATCTGCTCGAGGGGTGCAGTCGGCTACAATGGGTCGACGTTAGTCAGTGCCGGAACTTGGAGAACTGGATCCGAAGCGGAGGTGTCATGCGGTGGGGATTCGATGAGCGTGGCGGCAATGGCCTGTCACCGGGACAGGTGCCTTTGCCATTGCCTAGCCCGACGTCGACTGCCACGAACCACGGTGGGCGTGGGGCAAGGCCGCTAAGCTTCCGGAGAAGAGCAAGACAACCCGTCCGATTCATTGTTGAAAAGGGAGCATTCGGGCTCAGATGAATATGATGATGAGATGGGGTTTTAATCGGGGTTATCTTGACGCTGTTATGAGAGGAAAATGGTTTGTACGATTGTGGCCCGGCGTGGAATTGTTTGGATCATAGAATAAGCCTATTTTAGGGAGGCGCAACTCATTAGGAGAAGCAGACAGCATTACAGGGCATCATGTTTGGATTCTCAGACGACTTTTGGCGGGATGGGCTGAGGATAGACTGGACTTGATGATACCCTAATTCATTTCGTTACTGTAATCAGAGGCACGCGATGTCAAATACGCGAGGCCGTTAGCTTCCATTTTGTTTGTGACCATGACTGCCGATTAACCATTGCACACTATGCCGGAGGTCCCATCATTCACACCATCCCAAAATTTCTTATTGTCCTCATCCCAAGCTTTCCGTCGCTCCTCGGGCGATAGCTGTTTGGGAAAACCCACCCGGAACAGGAATGCGACCCTAGTGAGCGCCGCCATCAGCGTGAACCCCACGAGGACCCAGTCTACACCACGCCACTCCCGCACCGGGTTCACGAGGTTCCCCTGGAGGCCCCAGGATATCCGAGCGCTGTAGAGCAGGGACGCGTCGACGAGGAGGAGGGCGAATTGATAGGAGCTCCAGATTGTGAGTTGGATCCTGGGCGGGACGGCGTGGTGTTCGGGGGAGGTGAGGAAGTAGCTTGTGTAGGAGACGAGGACGTGTGCGGTTACGTAGGCGAGGAGTTGGAGGGTGTGGGCGCCGGAGTAGAAGTCTGAGGTTGGGTCTGAGTAGGCTGCGTTTGTGAGGGCTGTGAGAGGGGTGGAGGTTATGAAGGGTTGGAGGGGGGTTATGGTGAGGATGTTGAGGAGGGTTTGGTAGGTTTTTGGGATTAGGGAGTGGTACTGGGGTTGGGTTGAGGAGGGGAGGTTGAGTGTGTAGGAGTTTATGACGATTTTTTCTTTTTTGGCTTTGCCCTTTTTTTGAGGGGGTAAGTGGTGGGAAGTTTGGTTTGCGGTCTTTTGGTTTGAGGGATGAGTTAAAGGGCGGTGGATTTGGTGATGTTTGGTGGTTGGATGCTGCGATGTTGGTCTTGGTGTTGAGAAATACGGGATGCGATACGCGAGGGGACGACGGGACGAAGTTTTACTTTTCGCACAAAGCGTGCTTTCCCTGGGAGGGCGAAGTATTGAATATAAGGCCTTCGTACGTTATCAGGGGGTGAAAAAAGGTGCTATTATGGTTTATCGTTTCATAATCCACACATCTTGGCAGAGTATGATTGATTGCCCCGAATTAAATGCTCAGAGTACTCCGTACCTCGCTAGGAATGTGAGAATGTCACTGAGGCGGGGGTCCAGTCATGAGTCGCGGGGCATTCTTTCCTTCCTTCCATTCGGGCTTCTTCGTTGTTTCCTATTTTGGGGGAGAGGGGCACGGGCCGGATGCTTGGACCAAGGGGCGACTGGCGGGGTGGAAGGAGGCAGGGACCGTAATTTGGTCCGGGCTTCCATGGGCTTGACTTCCGTTTTTTTTTTTTTTTGGCTGCTTAAGCTCGTGGGGCTGCGGCGGGCAGGAGCTTGGGCCGTTTGGTGACCTTCTTGGAGGAGGGGGAAGGGTCTTTGGAGGGAGCTGGTGCCTTACGTCAGCTTGGGGGTGGGTTCAATGTTGGTGATGGCTGTTTCTTGTCCTTCTGAGACGACGTTCTTCATCAACATCGTACCTTTTACATGAGGTCAAAAGCTCGACTGTGATATGGATTTAACATGGGAATCAGTCAGTGGCGGTGTCGACTGCTTCTGCTTGACTGAAGCTTGCTCTCTGCTCACAATCCCACGACATTTGTTGGCTTCGTGGTCCAAAGTCTTCTCTCGCTGAATTGGATCTGCTTCCTTGCATATAGCAATGGGACTTGTATCAATCGCTACGGCTGACATCGAAGCCGAATTTTACCATACTATAAATTGTAGCACCTACCAGCTGATGCTTAATCGTTTCTTCGGGTCAGGCAGGGGCATCATGCAGGGCTGCGGCGCTGACATACCTCTTACGGAGTAGCCCAATCATTGCTTGAGAGCACATTGATTGCTGATAGCCTGATACGGACTACCCCTCAACCTCTTTCTGCGAGAAATTGTCGATGAATCTCTGCGGTCTCACGCTGCGATTAGGTGACCAGGTCACTGAGTCCGCCATTCAAAATGCGTCTCCTTGAGACAGAAACGTTGACGCTTCACGAATTCGTCGAGGGCCAAGTTCCCAAATACGCAATATTGTCGCATACGTGGGGTGAAGAGGAAGTTCTCTTCAGAGATCTCGGAAATGGTCCATCTGACAAAGCCGGATGGACCAAAATTCAGTCTGCATGTCGCGTGGCCCACGACCGGGGCTATGATTGGCTCTGGATCGATACATGCTGCATTGATAAGGCCAGCAGCAGTGAGCTGTCTGAGGCTATCAACTCGATGTTCAGGTGGTACAAAGAGGCCGCCATCTGCCTCGCATATCTCTCCGATGTAGAATGCTGTGAGCCTGGAACCGACGAGTGTGAGACGACTCTGGCAGGGAGTCGGTGGTTCACCCGCGGCTGGACGCTCCAGGAGCTCCTTGCTCCGTCATCTCTCGACTTCTATGATCGAGACTGGACACTTGTAGGGTCAAGAACCCTCTTCCGCGGCGTCATTGAAAAGAAGACGGGGATCGAGAGTATTTACTTGTCGGGAGAGAGGGGTTTGGCTGGCGCGAGTGTAGCCGAGCGGATGAGCTGGGCATCAGAAAGGACAACAACCCGAATTGAGGACGTTGCATACTGTCTGCTGGGAATCTTTGATGTCAACATGCCCCTCATCTACGGAGAAGGTATCAAGGCTTTCCAGAGGCTGCAAGAGGCAATCATTCGCGACAACGACGACCAGTCCATCTTCGCGTGGGGGAACCCGCATGAGGGAAATGTGGTCAGAATTCCAAGCCCCCTAGACGGCTGGTCACTCCTCGCGTCAAGCCCGAAAGATTTTACGCACTCCGGCGACGTTATCCCCATCTTCCATGTCACTACCAGTGCCCGAGTGCGCATCGAAAATTCAGGCATCACCTTTATGACGCCACTTCTCGCAGAGACACCTCCAAAGTGGGTGAACGGCCCCTCCTCGACTGCATTCTTGGCGCCTCTGCTTTGCCGCCGCCGCACCGACATTTTCAATACTATCGCACTTTCTCTACACAGTACCAAAAGGCCCTCACCTAATCTTGACCATCCAGACGGGATGTCGTACTATAGGGTCTCAAACCAGCTCTTCAAATATCCAATGACCGCCTGGGTAAATGAGAGACTTTGTTCAGCATTCATCTACTTGAAAGCCTCGCGCAGGTTTCGAGATATCGGAGATGAGCGCGGTTATGCACCGAATTGGGGGTGTGCCATCCGGACGCTGCCCCAGGGCTTTACTCTTGGTACCCCATACTCGTCGACGTGGGGTCAACACAACGATGGAATGCAGTCCGACGTTTTACCAATAACAGAACGCCTGGTCGGATCATATGGTCTTGCGTCTCCGATTGTAATTCCGCTGCAACATAATCGTTACGAAGCATCACTTGCTCTTGTCTTACAGTACCAGTACATGTCCACCGCGACCGGGTATGGTGGCACCGTCATCTTCGATAAAGCGCCGTCGTGGATGGTGAACCGAGTGGTGAGTATACCGCTCGGATCTACAATTGAGGAGGTTGCGGAAACGGTACGGATTGAATCTGAGGCGTGGCCCGCGGAGTACGTGCGTCGAATTTCGGGCGCGAGCAAGAGGGTAAAGCCGGCGAGTTCCATGGACCTGTTCGATCGGAGTTCGTTGAGGACGTTTACCAGGTTTCACGTGGGAGTTTCAACTGAGCTAGTGCATGGGAATCTCCAGATCGTTGATGTTGAGGATTCCAGGGGGAGTAATGTCTCTCTCGAGGTGGATCATAATGGAATGTACACTCCCGTGAAGGGTGCACCATAGTTCTCTCACTGAATAAAATGAATACAATAGTCTCAAGTCGAACAGTATACCCCACGGTGAAGCTATGCCGCTAAGTATTAGATGGAGTCAATGCCTATCTAAGGTAGTTGGGGTAATAACGAATGAAATATTTGTCCGACGTATTTTCCTTATATCCGCCTACCTATGAATAGTTTGAGAGAGAGCGGAAACCACGGAAAAAACTGGAGACGGAACCATTGAGGCCCTAAGCAAAACCTCGCTCTTTAACAAGCCGCTATTGCTGATTCCAATGAAGGAAGGAAGAACCCTTTCCCCGCTGTTGTGACGACACCTGGTCTTTGATAACCTTGAAGTACTTTTTCTTGTAATCAGAATGGATGTCATCCATCCTTCTCAAGCGGCTCCTGTCTTTGATAACCTCATGTCTGCCTTTTAACTATGCGGCTTTTAGTATTCAATCGATCACAGCTTCTGAGGAATTTTGGACTTACTAGGTCTGAATCGTCCTCAACCACAGCCATTGCGTTCCCCTCCTCAATTATTTCCATCCCATCCACCTCAATAGTCACCTTTGCATTCTCCATGTAAATTGACTCTGTGTCCTCCTCGCAAATTGATTCTACATCACCCTCTGTAGTCGCCATTGCATTCACCGCAATACTCACCATCGCATTCTCCTCGTCAATTGACTCTGAGTGGTTCTTGCTAATCGATTTTGTATCTTCCTCCCCAAAGTCTGCCTCGAAAAAGCTGCCGGCTTTGTCTTTCAGCTTTTTCCAGACAAGAGCGTCGAGGACCGCCTCAGCTTGATGATAAAGCGACCTTTGAAAGGGATAGAAGGTGAAGCTGGCTGTGGTTTTATCTTCTTTCAGGATACTCGACCAGAAATTATTCTGGATTTTGTACTCCATAGAGTAGACAACGAATGAAAAGTCGTGCGCAAGCGCCAGCATCCCGTCAATGAAAGCAGCCTCTTCAGGTTCGGGGCTATCTTGACCAAGCTGCGCCGTGTCATTGTTCGAAGCGTATGCCGCGCACATTAGTTGCGGGTTGTCGCTTCCCTGATTATCCAAAGCTATTTGTACCGCTTTGTTGACAGAATGTTGTGGAATGGTGAAATCTTCGAACTTGTACTTATTGTCTAAACCGTAGAAGTCGTACCGGATGGGCTTAGAGAAGTTGTTGCAGTGGATGCTCAGCTGTCCCTCTAGGGAACGTGGCCTCCTTCCTTGTGCCTTGGCCTCTCTATTCTCGATCTCCTGCTCTTCGCGGTACAGGTTTTGCCAAGCCATTTCGTATCTGTACATAGCAAATGTGTCAGCCGAAGCATTCACTAAAGACAAGCCCATGTTCGCGAGGTTGATTATATGAGGGTACCTTGTCATGAGGGAGTTGGTCTCGGATGTTCCAAATATCAGATTCTCCAAGTTCTGACTGGTCGAGAACCCAGACTTTGCACCAGCTGGCAAGAACCCACCAAAAGAGAATGCGGATAGATGTAGCCACTGCAATGTATTTGATATCGGTGTCAGCATGTTGACATGACTGCCATTGTCCAATCAAGTTTTTACTGACCTCGCTGGAATAGAAACCAGAAGCAAGGCGGCTTTCTTCCCAACCCAAGCCTCGCGCTATCTATCACAACTATCAGTTACCAAAAGCTTTAGATCATGGACGGATCTCTTACATCGCCTGCTGAAAAGTCTCCCATGACTGCGGCCTGAGTAGGCTGAGAGGGGCGCTTGCCACAAGCGGCATCCATCTTGGCGACTGACAACCCGGTTTCAATGGTAGCCTGCCCGTTTGCGAATCTGTAAGTCTTGTTCTGAGACTTGATACCTTGGAGTCGCCTTTGTCTGACGGCCTTGGTTACCCTCCTTCGGTTCAACTCTTCGACAGCGTCCTTGTCAAATTTCGCCTGACTTGGATCGAGCTCATGCTCCTTTCGCTCCTCAGGAGACAAGCTACCCTGGATATTGAGGTCCCGCAAACCCACCTTGAACAAGAGATTATCCAAGGTCTTATGAACATCCGCGTTATTGAGGGATATGAACTTTCGGATGGGATTTGTCTTTGTTTCCGCCAGCATCGTCATGTACGAGTGCCAGTCATCTTCGTGTATCCAAGTGGAGTAGAGTTCGAACGGATCTGCATCCGACATCTGTGCAACACTCAGGTGAGACGACTGTTCAGCGTGGAATGCAGCACCCGGCTTACTTTCTTGTACTGATGCGCACAGTTCGATGGCGAGTCGTCATAAAGCATCAACTTCCACTTTCCGTCGTCGATGTTGCCATTTCCAGTCGTCATTTTACTCCGGTCATTGGCTGTATTTGCATCGTTTATCAAACCTCGGAAAAAGCTGTTGAGGTCTTGGTAGGATCGTGGATGTACCAGGTTCTGGCGCTTTTCTAAAGGCTTCACAAGTAGCGGCCACACTAGAGGCATGTCACATTGACGTGTCGGCTTGAAGGAACTTCCGCTGCCCAAGGACAGGACTCGTCGAACGTATGTGGTCCAGTTATCAAGTGCTTTGGCAAAGGTCTTAACCCGGATCGGTAGTTTGATTGTGTTGCCATTACTCAGCCTGACAGCAATCTCAACCCCTTTTGTTCTCTTCTCGTCTGATAGTTTCCAGCCCGTGGGAGCCTCATTGAGGAGCTCTTCATCATTCCACGCATAAACTCTAGAGTCAATCGTTACTTAGTAGTTAAGGCTCTTTGCAGGTTTATGGTGGGCATCTTACTTGTCCTTTTTATCATTTGCTGCATTATCATAATCTTCATTGTTTTGTTCGCATAAGACGGAGGATCCTAAGCCGAGCACCGTCTTGAGAGACACGAAGACGATGTTGTCGTCAAAGGGGACCTCTGGGTCTATACTGAAATACTCCCGGGCGATAAATGAAATGGCGCGAGACTTTTCATTTCCGAAGTACCATAGGCTTTCTTTGCCTAGCATACAGCGGTTCCATGTTGTGTCCTTGTTGTATTGTCTGCGTGTCCGCATGTTGCGCGGAGGTAATAAGGATGCGTAATGTTAAGATCAAATTTGCGTCAACAAGGTTGCGAGGCGTGCACTGGGGAAACAAGCAGAGATAGGCGTCTCCAAAGGGTCAGGATAGCGACTTTGGATGTACTACTTATGGACCATGTGAGGAATGGAAGAACCCTCTTCAGCATTAGATTCAGCCTGCATGCTCACACTCTCAAGTCATAAGACGGACTGTCCCATCATCCCGGTCCAATAACGAATACGTAAGCTTTGTATGTAACACTGTTTGCAGGAAACAAGCGTAGCGGCAGCGCTGGCCACTGCCTTGTACTGCTGAGCTAGGCCTAAGTTAAATGAGTGCGGGTGGCTGTTTGGTGGCTGGTCGAGGCCCTGCTATAGACTGAACGGCTGTGAAAAGCAAGCTGAGGGGAGCTGGGAACTTTGCAGCTAGCAGATAGAGCTATCCTCAGTGCAGAATGCATATACCAAAACTCACGGCCAGAGTTATTCCCAAATACGAATCGCGCAACAAACGCCACGCCAGCCCAACAAATATAGGCGAAAAGCTGTCTGCCATCACGTATCTGAGCCTATGATTGCTTTCGGTTCATAACAAGGCATGCATCATTCGTTCAAAGGATGAATCCGGACTCCATCTCCCGTAGACACCAGGCCTCTAGTTGCTGCAGCCCACTCGAACTTTGATTTCGCGTAGGGACAAGGCTAATGCGAATGCGGTTTCATGAGCATCGCAAGCAGCATCAGGCTGTCATCCTACTACCCTCTACTATCTAAAACAAGTAAAATAGAAGTCCTGAATATGCTAGACGGGGGTTCATAGATAACAGTATCCGAAAGATATCGTAGCAAGACCTTTCGATAGCGTGCTTAGTTTACATTCATTTCGGAGACTCGGCCTATCAGCTTTCTTCACGCGAAGCATTCTTCTTTCGGCAATTGTCTCCTCAGCTGAGCATGAAGCTACCACATGTAAACTGTGGCTTACGAACCGTGTGTCGCATTCAACTTAGGCTTTTCGAACCTTGTGTTGTCGAGGATATCATGTCGTCCCTCCGTCCTTTAATATTGAAAGTCGCTGTGTTGTCTCCTCAGGCATTTTCAAGTTTCGAAGAAGACACTTTTCCTTTACCCTCATACTTCAGCCATTTATTCCTCAGACGGAATATACTGGGTCATTCATGGATTCAGCTATGGATTTCGACATCATCTTGAAACGCAAGCGCTCTTCATCCGGCAATGAGCATGACAATAGTCCGCCTTTGAAAGCATTGAAACAAGAAGCTCTCACTGGAGATGTTCAAGGGCTCAAAGCCTCTATTGAAGGCTCCATAACTTCACTAATTGGTACAGTGGACCAAAACCTACTTCGGAGCATCGGACAGGATCGCTCGTCCCCCGGATTCGAAATTGGAGGAGCCTGGGTCACGAACTGGCAGCCAGTTGCCTTCGATTCGAGTGGCAAGGAGATTCACTTTCGGTCCCTACCGGATGAATATCTAGGTCCAACTCCTGCTGCCTTCTCGGAGTACGGACTGCCCACTCCGGATCCTTCGCCTCTGCCCAAAGACACCAATCCGTTCTTCCCTGAAGATTCTACCTTGGACTATACCGCTTCAGCTAGCCTGAACGGGTTATCCAACTCAGCCTATGTGGGCGATCTAAAGCTTTTTGGCCTCATTCCATCTAAGATATATGTGTACGAGCACGCTGGTAGCCTACTACATCCATACCATGAGGAGATCAGAATCTCGCCCGATGGGCCCATCTCGCTGGGGGCCTTTATTCCTTCTCTCAAAGGCAGCGAATGGGACATGATATCGCTCGAGAATCCTATACTCGGATTCCAAGAGGAAGCCATGCTAGATGGCCTCTTGAGCCGGACCAAAGGGCTTTACTTCGAGTCCGAGCTTGTCTTTCGAGGAGCCCTGCAGCCCGTCTCGGACTTCTTTCAGGACTTCTTCCACCAGGATACACCCTCTATCCGCTTCACCGCTTGGCTGGATGGGTTCCGCGACTATGCCTTCCCTCCAACCCCCCCTTCCTTCGTACTGAGTGGCTCTCTAGACCATGTTTCGGTCAACGTGCTGGACGTCCTGAAGTTTCGACAAATTGGTATTGAGCTCAACGGATATCAGACATACAATCTTTCTGATAGAGGAAGAAGCACCTGGGAATTAGGCTATGGCTTTTTCGGAAAGCTGGATCTCAGCGTTCCTGGTACTGTTATTCCCCTACAGGTTGAGTACTATCTCCGCAAAACAATTCACTCTTGGCGTTTGCAACTTCGCCTCAAGGACGATGAATGGAACGACGTTTTTGGCATCAAGGGCTTGAAGGTATTCTTCGATTGGTATCAATTTTCACCATAGAAACTGAAATATAACTGACTGTAACTCATTAACTCAGCTGTTCGACGTTGCCTTAGAGGCTGAGATCCAGACTTCCGCCGAGAAGAAAACATTCTCGGTGGGAATCGAGGCAAATTTGGAACTGAGGAAGACAAAAATCGGTGTTCACGGTTACTACTCAAAAGGTACCAACATACCCTCATAACATATTTCGATAGAAGTATCATCCCTAATTAAAGTCTTGCCATGCATAGATTTCTATTCCCTCGAAGCGTATATTGGCGATTTGACGTTGCACGATGTCGGCGAGATCTTCCACGAGCTGATCGGAACAGAGATTGACTCATTTTCCCACGATGTTGCGCTGAGCTCCATGCGTCTATGCGTTTCATCGAACGGATTTGCGCTTCGAGGAGAGGTGACCGTCAATGGCCATACATCCACCAGCGGTTGCCTAGAGTTTTCGCGAGATGGTATCGTTGTTCAAGGTAGTGTTGGAGACATCGAGTTCGAGCATGTTCAGATCAAGGCCGCCTCGCTAGACGTCTTCATTGCCAGCAAGCTCGACACGCAGTGCGCTCGAGCGTCTAAGGTCGATATATTCGGGCACGTCAACATTCACGGTGTAGAGCTCAAGGCTGCGCTGCACACCGAGAAGACCTCGGAGGGTGACTTTCGCTGGACCATTTATGGCGAGGTCGAAGGCGATGTCACGACAAGCAACATTGTTCCCGACCTGAAAGGAACTTTCCTGGATATCTCACTGAACCGGTTGGCCTTGATAGCGTCTAACCACGAGGCTCCATTGGGCTCCTACAAAGGAATCAACTATCCGGTCGCCAAAGGCTTTCAATTCTGCGCCATTATTGACAGCATTCCCGAGCTCGAGAAGCTCATGCGCGGCAGCGTTAAGGGCATGGTGTTTCGCGCTGCTCTAGTTGATGGGCAATTTGCCCTGAGCGTGATCTTCCCCTCAGACCGCACCATAACCTTCGGCGAGCACGTCTACACTGGTCCTCTCGCGATCGAGATTACAAAGACGGATTTCGAGTTCCAGATGATTCTCAAAGCCCTCCTCAACGTCAAAGTTGAAACGCAACCCAAGCCTCTCCAGTTCTCCCTAGGCCTCAAAGCAAGTTATTCCGGCGCAGCTGCATATGCGCAGATGTTGACAGACTGGACAAACCCATGTGATATCGGCAAAAAGATAAATGTTCGGGGATGCGCCCTTGATTTCGGCATTGTCTATTCTACCTTCTTCACGACAGGTATGCCGGGCTCTATCGGTCTAGCGGGGCAAATCATGATCGGAAAGAAAGAGGCCAAGCTCGCAATGAAGCTCAGCCAAAACCCTAAGGAACAGATCCTTGTAGCAGTCGTGAAAGACCTGGGCGTCGTCGATCTTGTCAAATTCGCTTCCCAGATCTGCGAGTATCAGTTTCCGGAGCCAGATGGCTTCTTGCACTTCAATGACTTTCAGTTGTACCTCTCCACTGGCGCCTCTATTGGCGAGACATACTATGCACCAGGTGTGTCTCTCAAGGGCGATATGACTATTTTCGGCAAGAGGGCCAAGTTCGACTGTACGATCGGCACAATGGTCAAGATCATGGCCACAATCGAGCACTTTGAGCTGGGACCGGTCAAGGTCAGAGGAGCCATCGGCGAAGACCCCATCGTGGATATCGAGCTGTCATCGTCAACACAAAAGGTCCTCATCGATGGTGCTGTAGACCTCTGGGGATTGTCAGCCGCGCTGCACCTTGAGGCTCAGGCATATCCTAAGTCGAAATTTGATTTCTGGGTTGATGTGTCGCTGTCAGACTGGTTCAAGTTCAAGCTCAAAGCCAAACTGACCGGCGATGTCGACTTCAAAGATCTTTCATCACTCAAAAACGCCGATTTTTCAATCTATGGCCTAATGGAGCAACACATACTTGATAACATAACTGAGATGCTCGATAAGCAGGTTAACTCGCTGGGCAATTACGCAGACCTTGGCGATGCTAGGAGGATTTTGTCGGGCAGGGAGAAAGAGTTCAAAGCGACCGTCGAATCGGCTCGCATCCGCCTCGATGAAACCAGGCAGAGGTGGGAGGCTAAGGAACAAGAAATCGTTTCGACGCTGGATCGTGCCCAGTCTGGGGCAAAAAGCTACAAGCAGCAGCTCGAGAGCAATGCAGCGACGGCAGAACTACAGTACGCCAATGTCGTAGTTGCTGCCATGGCAAATCTCGATCAAGCTCGTCACGACGCGGCTGTTGCTACTCACCTCGCCGAGACGAGCCTTCAGGAGACACAGGCTCGGAGCGAGAAGAAAGTTCGCCGGGCACAGAGTGGTCTCAATGAAAAGCGCAATGCCTTCAAATTGAGTTTTGGTAGCGCTCGCTCTGATTTAGAACAGACAAGGAAGAGCTTGGGCGAAGCTGTCGCTGCGGTTGATCAAATTTCACAGGATCTGGATGACATTGACCACCGTCTCAAGGAAGCATCTCTTGTGGACATGCCGGTTCTGTTGGCAGAGAAAGCCACCAAGTTAGCCGAGCAATCAGCTACATCCGCAGCTCTAGAAGCTGTACGGGCCGTCTTCATAGCTGTACAGCTGGTCATTCAGGGGTCAGAGTTCATTGCTGCGGAAGCCGCGATTGCTACTGATACAGTTTCATTGAGCAATCTGGTGAAGTCTGAGGCTGCGGCAACGGAAATTTCTAGGGCCGCCTTTGAAGAACTTAAGATGCAACAAGAGAAGATAGTGCGGTCCGCAGCCCGAGCCTTGGAAGACACGAAAAGGTCCTCAACTGAGCTGAATGCCTCTGCGCAAGCAAAAACCGCACTCGCAGAAAGCCAAAAGACTATGGAGGCCATGGTCTCTCCCGCGAAGAAGGCGTTCGCCGACAGGCGCAAGTGCGCTGAGTACCTGGCATTTATCAGAGCTGAGAAGGCCTTCGAAGCAGCTCTGAAACACAGGGCGGAAATTGAGTTGGCCTTACAGGCCTGCGAACTTGCCCAGCAGGACTCTTCGAGCTTTGCCGACGACATTATGAGTGTCGGGTCGAACATCGGCAAGTGGATTGCAAGCATCACTGTGGATCTAATCAATATCACCAAGATCGAGTTCTCAGGATCTATTTCGAGCCTCGTTGCGAACGGTCCTCCCCTGATCGTCAACGTGAAGGGCAAGCTGCTTGACCAGAATATTGACCTCAAAATTGAGTGGCAATCTCACTTTGACCCGACCAAATTCATCCAGGCTATCTTCAGCGATCTGTGGGAAATAATCAAGGCCGCTGCCAGCACATTCCTCGAGGAGATCGGTGTCAAGATTGTGGAGATTAGTGAAGAAATCGCTGGGACTGTCGTCGAAATTGCAGAAGACATCAAGGAGGATGTTGGGAAGGCCTCTGAAGCGATTGATGGTGTTGTCAGCGACGCTGGCTCCGCGTTGGATGGTGCTGGCAGTGCCGTCGGCCGCGCAGCTGACGACGTTGTATCGGCGGTTGACCATGCTATGGACGACGTTGGTAGTGCAGTCGATCACGCAGCTGATGATGTTGTGTTGGCGATTGACCACACTGTCGACGATGTCGGAACGGCATTCAACGATGCTGGCAGCGTTGTCGTCCACGTAGCCGATGACGTTGTGTCGGTGGCCGACCATGCCGTGGACGATATTGGAAGTGCCTTCAATGATCCAGGCAATGCGGTCGTGGGTGTAGCGAACGATATTGGAGCAACTTTCAATAACGCGGGTAATGCAATATCGGACTTTTTTGGTTTCTAGCTGCTCCAGGATCGGACACTAAGGTACTTAGAGGATGCAATCTCGGTTCCCCGTAAACATTGAAGGAGAGTAATCATGGCAAAGATAAGAAATTCGCGACTTGCTTAATAAATACAACACCTGGTTGATCGTACAACCCCCCATATCAGTCTACCTAATCATCTTAAGGTAGAGAATGGCAATGACAAGAAAGGCGCCATACCTGTCCTTAAGGATTGTTTCTGGCGACGACAGTTCCGTTATATTCACAAACATTGCGTAAATACTGTGGATTGTATTGAAGATAATGCATGGATGGTGGCTTGCGTATGTCGATACTCCGGCGCCAGCGTCAGGCTCGATTCTGACAGAGAAGGAGGACTTAATTACGTCCAGGCTTGTTTGATCGGGGTTTATTGAAGGGGCAGGTAAAATAACGTCTCTGTCGAGGGATATTACCTTGATATTCACACGCTCGTGAAGGGGGCAGTGATTTTGTCACTTGATGGGATAAGAGAGATGGGAATGATCTCGAAGATAGATTACCGCCCGGATAGCAAACTGTGAAATCCATGCTGGTTCGGAGGTTTCAACTCGGCAACTCAGGCAGAGCACAATCCACCATGGACACTTGCTGGATGACTCGTGGCCGATCCCCAATCCATCTCAGCCATCTGCTTTCCAATCTCAGTCGAGCCGTCTGCGCGGATGTACGAGCCTGCAAAAGATCAGTCTCTGTCATCTCGAGATGCAACATAAACAGTCTCAGAGACTAGCGCAAAAAGACGTACTGCTCGCATGATAATGCCACCAATCCTGCGACCGAAAGGCATTATTCGTCAACTGGGAAAGCACATCGTTCCAACCCGTGTTTCTATCGTGGTAGATGGCATGTTTCGACCAAGCGACGTAGACCTTTGGATGGTCGAGGTTTTTTCTGCCGTTGTCACCACCGCGGGGAAGCGTTGCGTCGACGGTGTTGAAGGTGTTCTGGATGTCGCCCCAGTTCTTGCGATCATAGCCTGAGTGTTGGGAGAGTAAGAGCTGTGAGGGCTGCCAATTGCTCGCGGAATCCTTGTTCCAAATGACGATTACCCTCTCCCAGTCGCTGTTCGTTGAGTGATAAGCCAGTCACTTCCTGGTACTGAGACACTGGAGTAAGTTGGAACGTACTACTTGTGCCCAAAGACACCAGATGGCATGAACCCATCCTTCTCATAAAACAGATTATACGCCACCCGCACCTCGTTATCATTACACTTGCTGTAGCTGTAATAGACTGGAAAATCAGGCGCCGGATTCCCGATTTCGACGCCCGGCTTTCGGCAATTACACCCGGCGTCGGGCCATTCGCAGAGCTCCGCGCCGGGTGTTTGTTGTCCATTGACGACTGCATGAGTTGGAATACACGGGGGCCGGTTCATCGCTTGTCCAAAGAACCACATTGGCTGAGCGGCCATGGCGAGTCCAACGCCGCCTTCATTCAGGAGGGTTGTCATTTGAGTGTCTGAGATGGAGGTTACAGCCAGAGTTGCGCCGATCATTGAGGCGCAGAGCGCGAGCGTACTCGTGAGGGAGAACATCTTTGTTGTTGCTCGGGATGCTGGCACCTCTCCACGCGGTGGTTTCTCAGGCTAAGGGGAAGTGGGTGAAGACGCATTCTTATGCAACTTACTACCGAAGGGTGACCTTGGATGGAGCTCCGTTCCAAGCACTATTTAATTTCTTGCATCCCGGGTATTCCAAGAGAGACGTACGTAGTACGGCCCGTTCCTCGAGTCGGCATCATCTCCAGGCCCCTGAAGATCATGCTACGATCTCGACTCATGATAGGCTCACAGCTGCGGGAGTGTCCCTGCAGGGCATTTGGCATACCACTACCAGGATAAGAACGTTTGGTCACTACTCTATACGAGATGAACTAGCCGTCTGCATGGTAATCCTTCGGCCGAGGATGGGGGCGGCAGACCTGGTTTACTGGCTCACTTGACTGCTGCCTGCGGCTGGAGTTGGCACCTGCCAAACGAAGCGGGCAAGGCAAGCTGCAGCATGGATAACATAGGCCGAAGTTTTATATTTCCTTGGTGGAACTGAGTAAGCACGGTATCTCATCTTTGCTCAATTGTACCGATAATCGCAATTAGGGTGTAGACTTCAGTGAACCCCTGAGACGACGGACGGCAATACATAGAACCGGGTGCTTATCTGTCTCCCGTTGAGAGCCCTTTACCTATCTAGTTGACTGATACTGCCATATATCACGCAAAATATCTTTAGGCTCGTCTTCTTCATCGCACAACGTACGAAACTATCTGTGTTGGATTCCTCGTGCTTACCCTGAACGTGGAAACAAACGCTTGCTAGATTCGTGATTCTAGTCCTTGTTCATTAGTGAAATATGTTGCGGAAAGATTAAGATGCTTCCCTTGTTCAGGGCAAGTTGCTACGCGAGAGGAAGCATACATACTTGAGCTTTCTGTATTACTCTAGCTGCTCATGTTTTCTTCCTGACTCAATAAAGGGGTTGCCCTTCTGTGCTACTGATCGATAACGGCAACGTTATGGGTCAAGTTTCCGACACCATAAACACCAACTCCCGGTTGACAAAAGAAAGTTAATAGCCAAGTATCCTATACCTAGCATCACTTTGCAGGTCAAGTTGCGACCTCTCATTGCGTTCCGTCATTCAGCCAGTGGTAGTGGACATGGACATCACCATCCTTGGCAGCATGTGCGTCCTTGGCCGAGTCCTTGGCTGAGGGGCCGACCTCCGAATTACCCTGCCTGAGTCCCTTCTGCCAGGACACAAAGTCGTAGTACCCATGCTGTAACGGGTACCCGAGCGGATACTGCTTGTCCGGCCGCGTACCAAAAACTGCGCCAATGGAAGTCTTGACAATCCAGTCAACCATGCCTAGGGCATGGTACACGTTGCTCGTCGCCATGTCTCTAAGGCGGTCACCATGCGTCTGTTTCCGCATCTTTTGTTCGTCACTTCTCTTCTTTAAGTCGACATGGTCGTCGTTGATGTCGATGAACATGCGCTCCCACATGCCAATCTGCTCTTCTTTCAGCACCTTACCCTCTGGGTGAGTCCATGTGTAAGTGTTTTTCGGAGACTTTAACTGCCAGAGATCCTCTTCCGAGGGCTGCTCAGTATTGACGAGCTGGCCTTCCGCAGCCCGAGTTTTCGGATACTGTTGATGAACAGAGGTGACGGATCCGCCGACGGTCCTATACTTGTCCACAATCTTCGGGTCCCGACCAGGGCGAATCTTAGTTGAGGTCACGCCTCTATCAAGCTTGAGTTCCCAGCCGCGCCCCGTAAGAGCATTACAGCGCCACTCAGCTTTATCATCTAGGCCGAGACCGTTGTAAAGGTACCGGACTCTGACGCAGGGGTGAACGAGTTCCTCCGTGTGTGTCAGAAGCTTCTTCCCGTTCTTGTCTCGGTAGAAATGAGGTGTTCGCGCCGAACTCTCTGCGAATTGACCGTGGTACGCAAGATATGGCGCTGATAACATGTTCCAAGCCCGGTCGAGACCTGTTGTGACCAAAGAGGTCGGGCTGGTGATCTCACCGAGGCCCCAAGGCCGAATGGTATCTCCGTGAGAGATTGTACGGAAGATGCGCTGCATCTCGCACGTGCTGAATTCCACGCCAACTGAAGTCAGCTGATCCGCCATCCCTAGTGACACCGAGTTAGTCTAGGTTCTTCATGTGAGGTGTAGGGGATCTCCAGCCTGGCGGAGAGTGCAGCACAAGGAGAGCGTAACATACATCCAAGGGCAATCTTGGAGATTTGCTGGGAATCAGAGCCTCCGCCGACGTTGCTGTGGCATCCGGGAAACCAGACCTGGCGAAGTTGAGTATTCGTGTTCGACCTCTTGCATCTCCAAAGCGTGGGAGAGAAAGGGCTTCGGAACTCGTCCAGGGCAAGGGCGTGGAACGCATGATCGATGTTGGGGTGGACGTTGTAGCTTGCAAATCGGAGCTGGCAGTCAAGAGCCGTTTAGCCTTTGCACATAGTAGGTAGATGACAATCACAGCCCCGGGACTTCCTCCGAGAGTAAATCCTACCTCTGCAGCATTGCGGCTGGCGCCATGCCAATTACACCATGGCATCTTGGGAATTCCAAGACTGCCCACTGTCTCCCAAACGCCTGTTCGAATGGCGGATTTAGCTACCGCAAACTCAAGTTGAACTAATCATCGAGAGTAGGGATGTACTGACCGACTGCTTTAATTTTCCCCTCCACAGCTCGGTGCGAGATTACTTCGTTGCCGTCGTCTACCATACGAGTCAAGCAAAGTTCGTACTGAGGAATTAGCCACCAAGTCAAGGACTTCAGACTAGCGAGACGTCACCTACATCGCTCAGCTGCTGGCGATAAGCCTCTGCCATGAGGCGAAACTTCATGCTGCCATCTGTCCGTTTGAACTGAGTCATCTTGGTGAATAACTCTCTTTTGTCCTTGTACAGCTGCTTCTCCAAGGCTTCGTGACTCGTGGCCTGGTCGTAACGTTCAAGGAGTTTCACCAGATCCCTTTCCACATCCCAAAGCTCTTCCTCGGTCAACTCTCCGACCTTTTCGGGGTCCAACTTATCTTCGAGCGGCTTGATCTCTACCATGTACTCTTTCTCTATCTTCATCTTCAGCTGGTCGTGATTGAACCCCAGTAGATGCTTCTTGGGGTCAAACATGCGAGGATCCGTCCAGTCGTTGAAGGCCTTGTAATCGTTGTAGATCTGGCCGAGGCTGCTGAGTCCAGAGCGATTGAGGAATCCAAGCGTGCAGACCATGCCTGCGAGCGACCGAGCGGTGAAGGCGCCCCGTGAGAAGCCAACGATGATGATCTCGTCCCCCGGGTTGTAGTTATCGCAGATGAAGCGGTAGCAATCCACAATGTCCTGGTACCGATGAACATCAATCATGTGTCACTGCCGTCAGTCTATTGGAGTCACCCACCTGTTTGACACCCAGGCCGAATAGGCCTCCCACAAAGCTGGCCCATTTGTCTTCTTCTGTTCCGGGACCACGGTGGTAGTAGACTACTTGAGGCATGCCACTACAGCACTTATGTGCGACTGCAGAGGAAAGGCGGCTCACGTTGGTGGGTACGCCGCCATTGTTGCTTGAGGAGGCATCTCAGTATACGCATACGTGTAGTTCGAGTCTCTTTATCCCAATACTTACGAGTTGTTCCACGTGCCATCACAACAGATCACCAGCCTTTTCCTGTTCGCAAAGTTTCCATCCTCTGGGATGGTTCTGTGGGCACATTTGACGTATTCTGTCGACATTCTGATTGCTTTCTTGTTCTTGTAGGGGCGGACTTGTTCTTGACGCAGAGCAGACGACAAGCAGGAGAAAAGAAAGGGCCACCAACCGAACCATTATATCAATGACAATGTCCAGCTCCCAGTCATCTAGGGCTGAAATGGAACAGAATCTTGGATGCTTACATGTGAAATGGGCCCATATCTCAAGGGTCCGTTTCCCTAGAAGTGTCCTTGAAGTTCCGGAAACGGCACGTTGTCTTAGACCCCGCGATCCATCTTGGCTACAGCTGAAGGTGCTCGGGAACGCAATACGATGAGAACGGCTTCAATCAGCAATAACACAGCAGATCAGTCGTTTTGTAGCCTATCACATCTGACTGGGGCTTCGGGTCGGCCCAAGCCACGTGTTTACCCGTTCGCAAAGAGGCGGCTCGTGAGACAGCACCAAACTAGATTCAGTTGGCAAAGGGGTTCGGCAGATTCATAATCACGACCGACAGCCATTTTGCGCGAATGTACGTTGTATGCGTGGAATGAGATATCGCATTTGTGGAAATGCAAGAGTTCCTAAGTCTCGAGTTGGACAACAGCTTCCACAGAAGTCGCTTAGGGCACCTGCATGCGCTTTTCTCCGTGGGATCTATGGAGCCTGCCCCGATACACAATACGGCGAGGGTCTGGAACTCGGAATTTATTTTTAAGGTGCTCGAGGTATGATTACTATCACGAGTACAACCGAACGAGCTTCTTTACTAGTTTCAGTCGATACTATGGTATGAGGTTGAGGCTCTCAGCAAATTCACCTGAATATGAACCGATTGAGACACGAATGGTCCCCTGTCTTCAACGCGGAATTCAAACAGCAGTTTATCAATTCACCGAGCTAAGCAATCATGTTTGTGCGGGAATCTGGGGGTGCGCTCTTCTATGTTCGAGTAAGGTGTCGTTTCTTTCATCTCACACTTGACAATTCGATGGACTACTCAATGGTAATAGAGGCGATGTCTAAGATTTGGTGGTTGGCTTTGCAGATCCCAATTCCACCGAATACCAAAAAAAGCGAGGGACAGGGCATTGTCTTAGGCGAATCCTCCCAACCCCCCGTATCTCCCCCTACTCCGGTTCTCGGTCATCGTTTATGATTTATTTGGCTAAACCTGCATGATTGCATCAAGCACGGCCGATCGTCGCACTCCAGCAGCGAGCCGTTGATTCGCGAAAACCACCAACACGCACTCCACCTGATAGCGACGCTGGGGCGGCACGGCGGCACATGCATGGTTTAGTGAGATTTTCGTGTTAAGGTGGTGAGGAGAAGCTTTCCCCGCGGATGCGGGGGATGGGGGATGGGGGCACATTGAATCCCACCTTGGCCGATGAGATGAAAAGGCCGAGATTTCTTCCTGTACGACGAAAGTAAAATTTGATCTTCTCTGTTGGTGCCTTGCCTAGGTTCAATGTTGATAGTACAAGGCTGAAGATAGCGACACCTTTATGGTCAAGAACTCTGTCTGTACTCATATTCGGCCCTGGCGGTGCTTGCTACCGAGATTCTGCTCAGCAGCATACTAGTACCTTTATCAACATTGACGATGGCCTCACATTCTGAGGAAAAGGGCGCGTTCGTCCCAGGCCGAGAAGATGTCGAATCGCCCGCCGTTAAAGAGGTAGACTTCACGTAAAACAGAATATCACGAGGCATGCCAAGACTAACCGCATCATTACAGGAACCCTCACCATCCTCCCCAACCTCAGCCGACGCCGAAGAAGAGAAAGCGCTCCTGTGGAAACAAGACAAGCGCATCATCCCGCTCTCCGCAAGCATTTACTTTCTCTGCTTCCTCGACCGCTCGAACATTGGCAACGCAAAGATCCTCAACTCCTCCACGGGCCACGACATGCAGACTGAGACTCACATGTCCAACCACGACTTCACAATCGCTCTCATGATCTTCCTCATCGCCTACGCAATCTTCGAAGTCCCATCAAACATACTCCTCAAGAAGCTCCGGCCCTCGCGCTGGCTCGCCTTTCTCATGTTCTCTTGGGGCTCCGTAACCATTGGCCTCGGCGGCGCAAACAGCTTCGCGACGGTGACTGGCGTTCGATTCCTCCTGGGCGTCTTTGAGGCCGGGTTGTTCCCGGGACTGGTCTACTATCTCACCTTTTGGTACAAGCACGACGAGAGGAGCGTGAGAGTCGCCATGATCCTTGCGAGCGCGACGTTGGCGGGTGCATTTGGCGGAGCGATTGCGTATGGGATCGGGCATATGAACCAGGTGCACGGTATGTCGGGGTGGCGATGGCTCTTCATCCTCGAAGGCATCCCTTCCTGTCTGTCTGCCTTTTTCGTATGGTTCTTCTTACCTGATTATCCCGAGAGCGCCAGCTGGCTTTCGGAACGAGAGAAGGACCTTGCGCTGCGGAGGCTCTACCACGAGGGCAGCAAGAGCAGCCACAAAACCATGTCGTGGGAGGAAGCCAAGGCGACGCTGACGGACTGGAGGTTATATGGGCACTACCTGGTGTACTTTGCCATGTCGACGCCGTTCTCATCGCTGTCGCTTTTCACGCCGTCCATCACGTCAGGACTCGGGTTCGTCGATCTACAAGCGCAGCTAATGACGGTTCCCCCATACGCTGCAGCATACGGTACGTCCAAACAGAACGTCTTCGATGAAGCTCAACCTACATCATATCTCCCACAGAGACTAACACGTCGGAAACAGTCGTTCAAATCCTCGTGGCCTGGTCCGCAGACCATTTCAACGCCCGCGGCGTCCACTCCGCAGCCCTCGCCCTCATCGGCGGCGTTGCCTTCGCCGTCTCCGCCGTCCTTCCGCCCGATGCCTACAATGCGCGCTACGGCTGCCTCATCGTTGGCGCCTCGGGCGCCTTCGCATGCATCCCGCCGCTCCTGGGCTGGCTGACGTCCAACATATTCAGCACAGCGGCGACGGGGCTCGCCATCGCGCTCAACGTCAGCATCGGCGCCGGGCTCGGGCAGATCCCGGGCGTATGGGTCTACAAGGCCGAGGAGAAGGCCCGGGGATACCCGACGGGCCACTGGGCTAACGCGGCGTTGCTTTTCGTCGTTGTGGTTGGGTGTACGGCGCTGAGGGTGTACTACGGAGTCAAGAACCGGGGGATTTTACGGCGTGCGGCGGAGGAGGGGACGGAGCCGAGGTTGTACAAGTTGTAATGGTCATTTGGCGAGCATTGCATCTGTACTCTGTCTTGCAAACTGCTGTCTCCTTGTTCGTGGTTCTGCTGCGAGCAGTCCCAGTTATCAAAGTTTGCGTCAATGAGTCGCAAGGTTTCAGGAGTGGGCGAACGGCTTGAGATGGGTGGGCATGAATCCCACCGGTAACCTAAGCTGGAAGATACGCGTCTTGCCAACCCCAATTACTCTTACATGTTCGCATGGCGATCTCGCGAAAATTCGTCGAAAAAAGTTGAGGCTGTCGTGAGAGCTCTAGTGCCACTGAAGCCCACTCCTCAGCATCCCCGCTTCATTGCGGGTTCACGACAACTTCGGCGTTGTGGCAGAGTGGTCTAATGCGCAAGACTAGAAATCTTGTTCCTTCGGGAGCGTCTGTTCGAATCAGGCCAACGTCGAGATATCGCAATAAATCTTTTGTTCCTCTGCATGTTGTTGCATGTTTTTGCATGAAGCCACTGTTCGCGTGGTGGTCAGCCACACAACGCTGCAACCATTCGATAGTGCGGTGCAACCCGAGAGTCGCGTGGTTCGTTCACAGTTCGGAGCCATGTGTCCGTGATTGGATTAGTTGTTCCCCCGCGTTCAGATGAAGAAATGTGGTTGCACAGATTGACCCAAAGATGGACTAGGTTGTAAGCCGTACTTCACTGCGGTGGCCAATCCCATGAGCAGAATGAAAGCAGACAGATTATTCGTATTGTTCGTACCTGTAGGGAACGGGGACCATTCAATAATCGATGAAAAAGCTCTTTTTTCCGTGTGGTCCCTTAATATGGCCCCTCCTCTGAGACAGCCCCCCGCAAGAAGTTTGATCAGAGTTGAGGACCGAACTAGTCAAGGATCATCCTGCAACACGAGCGACCCGAAATTGCTTGGAACCGACCGAGACGGCGCCCTGGAACTAAAATCCAATTATAGTGGGATGCCGAGCGAGGGTGACCCCCTTACTTTTTAAACCTTTTGGAGTGGGAATCGACACCGTCGCCTGAAGCACGTCAACTCGTTAATTCCTCTTGAGTTCTCCGCCCCTTCGAAACATAGCACACGATGTCTAGTTGAAGTGAGAGTCTCCATATTTGCATGTTGTCATGGGCCGGATGAGCTGAGTGAACACTCAAAAACGCCACACTCTCATCATCGGCATTGGAAGGGAGAAAGACACACCATTTGCGGGACCCATCTCATAGGAACACTCATTGAAGACAATTTCACTGGAACGGACGACGCGCCCAAGGGGGTGACGCCACAGACACGAAGCAGCCATGCCCGCCTTCACCGTCCTGAGCGGCGGCATACAGACACGTCGCGCGCGCGTTGTATTCATCGCCCTTCTCATCATCATCTTTGTGCTCTTCCTCAACAACTCTGGCCTCGCAGGTGGCGGTAGCTACCTCGACTCAGCGCGATCAGCAGCAGCCGGCGTAAGCAATGGGAAAACCACTAACTCCGCCGGCGGTGATGCCGGCAAGCAACCCGTCGGAAACCAGGACAAGGACAAGGAACTACCGGTAGCACACGGCGAACCCGATACCGCCGCAGACAAGCTCAAGGCCGACGCCGAGAGCCAGGACTCGTACCGCAACAAGGACGAAGAGCTGGCCAAGCAGCCGCCTACGGACACCGGCCGACCCGGTGATCCGAAACCCAGCGCTCCCGCATCGTCACCGATGCCGCCGACGCCGCCGCCCGCAGCGGACTGCGAGTCCTTTGAGAACTGGATGCGCTCGAAGCCCGGCCCGTTGTCCGAGGGCAAGCGCAAGTTCCCGCTCAACCGGCCCCGGCCGGAATGTCGCACGTTCCGCCTCCCCGCCATGGACAACCTCATCACCCGCATGAAGGGCGTCATCAAGGATCCGGACCTGTACCGCCTCTTTGAGAACGCGTACCCCATGACGCTCGACAGCATGGTCAAGTGGCGGGGGTACGCCAACGAGACGGACAAGACCACTGGCGTGTCTAAGGCGACGGACCAGGAGCTCACCTATGTCATTACCGGCGACATTGACGCCCTCTGGCTGCGCGACTCGGCCGAGCAGATCAGCCCTTACCTGCCCCTTCTCGAGGCCTCGCGGGATCCAAACTCCCTTGCCAGCCTCTGGCGCGGCCTCATCAACGCTCACTCGCGCTACATCATCATCTCGCCGTACTGCCACAGCTTCCAGCCGCCACCCGAGAGCGGTATCCCGCCGACGCACAATGGCGCGTACGTGCATAACCACCCCATGCCGGCGTATGATCCAGAGAAAGTATTTGACTGCAAGTGGGAGCTCGACTCGCTCGCCTCGTTCCTGAAAATGTCCGTCTCATATGCGGAGAAGACGGGTGACTGGCAGCACTTCAACAAGTACCACTGGGTCGACGCAGTCGAGGCCGCCGTCAACGCCGCGGGCGCGATGCGTCTGGGCACCTACTCGCCTGAGGGTAAGGTCGAAAAGTCGGCGTGGACGTTCACGGGGTGGACGAACCGCGGCAGCGAGACGCTGACCAACGACGGGCTGGGGAACCCGATCAAGGAGAACGGCATGATTCGCACGGCGTTCCGCCCTTCGGACGACGCCTGTATTTTCCAGTTCCTGGTGCCGGCCAACATGATGTGGGCAAAGTACCTCGAGTCCGCGTCCGAGATCATGGCCAAGCTGGAAGGCGAGAAGGCTAAGAAGCTGACGTTGGAGATGCGCGCGCAGGCGTTTGGGATCCGGCAGGGGATTGAAAAGGACGCCATTGTGCACCGGCCTGGGTTTGGCGATATCTTTGCGTACGAGGTGGACGGTTACGGCGGCGCGAATCTAATGGACGATGCCAACGTGCCGTCTCTCCTGGCGATGCCGCTCTGGAACTTTACGCACTCCAACTTCAAGTACCCCGACCCGCCCAAAGGCGAGAAGCTGCACGACTACACCGAGGTGTACCGCAACACGCGCAAGTACGTTCTCAGCGACGCGAACTCGTACTACATGAAGGGCCCCGCCATCTCCGCAGTCGGCGGGCCACACGTCGGACCGGGCAAAGCGTGGCCCATGGCGGCCGTCATTGCTGCTATAACCGCGTACGATCCCATCTCCGGTAGCAAGGACCCGGAGAAGGATGTCGAGGAGCAGTTGCGGATGGTACTGGATTCGACAGCCGGCTCGGGTGTTTTGCACGAGAGCGTCAACAGCTGGGACGAGAAGGACTGGACGCGTGCGTGGTTTGGGTGGGCGAATGGGTTGTTTGGGGAGTTGGTGTTGAAGATGGAAGAGGAGGAGAAGAAGAAGGGCGGCAGTGGTGGGTTGTTGGGTAAGAGCTGGCAGGGTTCTTCGGGAGCTGCCCCCGCTGCGCCGTAGACGTTTGACGCGTAATCAAGTAGACTAAAGAAATTGTGTTGTTTGTTCAAGAGCTGTGTTGGTTAGGCCATCGGGAACTCAGGGAGTGTGAAACTAGTTGCCGTCTTATCCGCATTTGGTGAGCATCTGCCCTGCACTCTAAGAGATAATGAGAGTTATGAAAAGGTTCCTCTCATTGACCCGTCGTCCTTCTAGTCAGGCCTTTGAGAACCGGTTTGCCACTAGTCATTTGCGAATGAATGCCGAATTGAGAGAACGGCTCGCCCTCTAGTCCTTCGCCAGTAAGATACGATCGGAATGTTCTAATTGTGACAAGCTTAAAAGCAGCCACTATTGTTAGGTGACAAGGACAGGTTGTGAAGCGGAAAGTTTTGGGGTAACAACCAGCAGCGAGTATTTAGAGTTCAACTCAATGGCTTTCCAAGACACAACAGTTGACTATGAAAACAACAAAAAATTTGACCATAACCATGGAAATGCGAAAAGTCAGGAGGACAAATGGTATAAAAAGCAAAAGATCGACGTTGGCCTGATTCGAACAGACGCTCCCGAAGGAACAAGATTTCTAGTCTTGCGCATTAGACCACTCTGCCACAACGCCAGATGACTTTCTTGGCGAGTTGTCACAGTATGTAGGTCTCTAGGCCCACATCTCTCCCTGAGCCCTCTGGAGCCCTCTATCCACAACCTTGTCGTTCGCACTTTCGTTGACTGATTTAACACGATGCTAAATTTGACCAGATCGTTGGCTTCGTTTAAATATAGACAGTTGCTTTCACGTCGCTATCTTACAGGCTACGAAAGTTACATATACCTCCCCACCGGCATGTGGCCAAGTGAACCCATCCCTCCTATCCCATTCACACCCGTCCCCCAATCCTGATCCCCAGGAACAACATCACTCCAGAGCGCCGGGTCCTGAGGCATGGGATCATAATACGTGTGCGGATCCCAGACCATACTCGCATCCCACTCGGGCATCTGCAACGACGCAAGAAAATTCTCCTGCATCTCAATCTCCCCCAGCCCAAGTTGCTCCCCTCCCGCGCCCTGGATCTCCAGTTCCCGCTCCTCCGCCTGTGAGGCAATAATCTTGGACCACCTCTGCTGTCTCAGCATCGCAATCTTGACCTTTGTCGCGCCCAGGCTCCAGATGTTGCCGCGCCACTCGCCCTCGTCAACGGACATTTCAGAGTACAGCGCGTCAATGGTCTGCAGCTGGGCGATGATCCGGTTGAGGTACCCCTCCACATCAAGCATCAGATCAGGCTGCGTAGAGAGCCGTGCCTTGAGCGCAGCCAGCACCTGAGGCAGATCCTTATCAGGCAACGTCGTCTGCCATGGCGAAGACCCCTTCGTCTCAGCCGACGGGGTCGACGTCGATGCAGGTGTGTTGGGGCTGATGGCGGCTTCCATGGCCGCGAGCGCAACATTGGGGTTATCCTGTGACGGGTCTGTCGGATCCGTCTGCGGCTCGGGCGGTGTCTTACCTCTTGTGGTAAGCCAGGACCAGCGGCTCATCATCATGACGGCGTAGACCATATGCGAGGCTATCGAGATTGGTATGCAATAGAAGAATTCTTGGGGCACCGACAACCATGTTTCGAACCAGCCTTTGAGTGCTGCGTTAGATTGGTAGAAGGCGTCGAGGGCGGATGTCGAGCCTGCGCTGATGGAGTCGAGGGATTTGGAGAGGGAGGCGAGGAGCTCGGCGTCGATTCTGGGGGGTTCGTGGATGCGGAGGCGGAGGGTGGCCATTCTTACTTGGAGGTAGGCTACGGTCTGTCAGTTGTTGCTTAGACTTGTTGTTAGTTGTAGACTGCACTGACCGTTGTTTTTCAAGGTAGGGGGCATGCTGGTTTGGAGTTTGTTCCATTCCGCTCTGAATCCAGAGACGTAGGCTGAGAGAGGTGCTCGAGTACTCTCGTCCCCTTCCTCGTCTAGATAGTCTTTCGACCTTAGGTCTGAGATCCTTTCGCAGAGCCTTTGTATCCGGACAATGTAGCCGAGGTGAATATCCGACTCATACTCCACGTCATCTTCTAATTCTCGTAAACATTGTTGCATGTACCCCGAATATCTCATAGAATCAATCTGGTGAATGTCCATTGAGATGCTGTAGATAAAATGTCAGTTCGACAGCTCTCCTCTGCTTCAGAGATACATGAAACTTACCAAGAACTGAGATACCACACCGCCAACAACAACCTCCGTTCCTCATTCGTGCGTTCCCGCAACTCCCAAGGTCTCATAACCAACAACCTCGTCCGCTCCGGCAAACAAGGGCTCCTCTTCAGCCCCAACTCTCCAACAAGGCACGTAGCCAGCGAGACAAGTTGGTTAAGCTGAGCATGAGCGATGCAATGCTGATGAAACCAGCCTAGCATAACCACCAACCCAAGCAGCAGATCAAACGACCTCTCCGATCTCAGGAGCATGTGGTCAGCAACGTGGTTCAGAAGACGATACATTTGCCCCCGCATCGACTTCATGCTCCGGTATGACGAGACCATGCGAATAGCAGCCATCAGAAACGGCCTCGTCGCGCCGAGCGTGGTGGCGGAGACGTCATCCGGCACCAGAACGAACGGGAAGCACGGCGCCAGCTTGGCGCGGTAGATCTTGAGGAGGTTCTCGTCCGTGTCGGGAGGGGGCGGGGCTTCCCCCGGCTCGGGCTTGCATATGCATGTCGGGGGCACGAAGGAGTTGTAGGTCTCGGGGATGTTGATGGGTCTGATGTCGGCGAGGTCTTCGACGTCCCAAGGGGAGACGCGGCTTTGGGAGTAGAAGTCCGCTGGTATTGGTTGTCCTGAGAGTAGGGAGACTGACGGGTTGGAGATTGGGTATGAGTGTCTTGATGGGCCTGGCAGCACTGGCTGGCCGGTAGATGGGCCACTCGGGAGGGTGGACACATTTCCTGATACCCGTAGGGTGTTTACCAAGCGGTTGAGACGTTCTTCAAGCTGGGTTGTTTTCCTGCGATAGCTGGTGTCAGTGATTTGTCCGAGTGAGCTATAAAGAGTATCTTCGGTATCCCACAACCCTATTGATTCAGGGCTTAGTGTTGGCTTGTCACACTGGACGGCAACCACACAGCATCCTGGACTGAACGCGGGTCTGATATTGAGGAATGTGACTTACGATGGCCTGCTTTGCCTCTTCTTCCTTGGCCTGTGTATCTGAACCGAACAGTGCTTGAAGAGGCGCTCACATCTACCACGCAAGACCACAACCGTTAGTCAAAGATGACAAAAAGCGCCGCCTAGGGTCCCTCTCCCACTCCCGCCATTGGGCCATCAAAGACATGGCGGGTTGCAATGGAGCCACGGTAGCCACCACACCACACGCCATTCCCTTGGAAATAAACAATGTCTAGATCCGCCCCCGGGCCCGGAGATCTTAAGGAATCCCCGGCTCCCCTATGCAGACGTAACGACCCGGGAGATCATGGACGGGAAAGCTGCATAAAGAATGCTGTGCCTCGCAAACGTACCTATCACACTTTGACCCGGGCGTCGTATTTGATCGAAGACACTTTGCTTTTGCTGTCGCACACGGCGCGCAGGCGGCGCCCCATTTGGCTACAGAAGGGACGCGGGTGGTCTCCGGCGAAGGACTTTTCGTCGATCGAGTGGGAGACGAAGCGGCAGACATGGTTGCGGGAAGACTGTAAACCGGACTCGGAGCCGAGAAGGGCCTTTGTGAAAACTCCTCAAGAAAACGGCGGATATTGGAGATTCTCTGACTTCTCCGCCGGCACAATGTTGTTCTCCCCTAGTAAAGACTCTGCCTTGGTCGTAAGTGGTACGGCTGTGGGAGGGAGGGGAAACGATGGAGATCAATTCTCGGAGGTTTATTTAATAAGAGGAAATCAAGTCCGTTGAAATGTGACTGGAAGAGTATTGGGTATTCGCGTTCCGTCAAGGCTCAGCAAGTCTTGAATTGATCATTGGGGGGAGGCTTGTTCGCCATGTCCTCGTCCTTCGTCTGATGCCGTGTGTGCGATGGACTGGTGGTTGTCCAAGTCAGCGACCGGAGTTTTCAGAAATCTTGGCAAAAGTCCGACCCCTGCACCGGTAGGGCTGTGCAGTGGGAGGGATGTACGCCCGAAATGCGTGCCGGAAGCGGTAATATGGCGGTCCTAGTGTCGACCTATCTGTATGCAAGTGTATGCAGCTAGGTTAGCCGTAGCGTCGATCGGAGTTTTTGTTAAAGTCCGGTTCTGACCTCCAAGCTGTTACTTTTTTCCCGATATCTGCTTCGCCCGTGAAGTCTTGAGTAAGGTAGCGGACGGTTGTCCAAAACCAACTGTAACAACGTGTCCGTGTGCTGCGCCTGTTTTTGATGATGAGTGCTGACTGCAGACGGGTCGACTTTGTGCCGTTTAGCAATGAGCTTATGAATCGATTCACATGTGCGTTCTCACACCTCTAGAAATCATCAGCACACTGGAATCAAGAAAGGGGTACTACTAACCTTGATCGCTAATTCCCTTGCACCCAAAGAGGAATCTTAAGGTATCGACACTATGAGCTGTGTGCATTCCGTTTCAATGATATTGAAAATACTCGGATAGTGGAATATAATGTGTCCCTCACTTGTCGCAGGGCATCGTCAACTGCCGTGGCCAGCAGATAAGACAGTAAGAAGCTACGATTTGCGACTACACAACGTTTTGTTAATAATCTAATAAAACTTGGCACCTAATATCTCTTCTCAAGCGATGAAGTCATTAAAGACTTTTAGCCTTTAAAGAAGAGGTTGTCTAGAGTTTCAGTCGCATTCATTGAAATCCGTAAGAGCGAGGAACACCGAGGAGGCCGAGGATCATGAACAGCATCTAGACCTTTAATTGACGGCTTCAGATTAACTCGGCCGAGCTCAAGACATTTGACCGAGCCGATTGTTCCGATGTAATTTGGTACGCATAGATCTATCTACCTTGGATGTGGAAGATTGAAGTCACCCCTGCTGTTGGGTTAGGCTACAAGCCTGAAGCGTCGTCGGTTCTTGGCACCATGTCGGCTTACCAATCGAGCATAACTTCCAAGCTGTACAGCATCTCCTACGTAGTATGATGAAGCTGCCACGTGCGAGAGGAAGATGGTGTCTTGAATCCTCATATCCGGCATTCCCCTAAAGTATAAAACTCGCCATGTCCAGGAGAGTCCACGGTCGTTTAGGATGAACGAAAGGTGTCATCAAGTATGAAATGATAGCCTGATAGGGAAAAGGCATGCGTGGTCGTTAAAAGGGAGGCCAGCTTCTCGTTGGATCTCATTGTTGTCACGGCAAGTTTCGTTGACGCCATTCCTCGCAAGACAAGAGTGACTAAATTGCGGGTAAAATGAGAGCAGCACTACCCAGCGATGATACCAGACACTAATACTGAAACAGTAGCTCAAATCATGAAGCCATGCCTCATACCCACTCAAAGAATGCCGTTTACGCGGATGCGGCTCATGGGCCTCCTCCGAGCCAGGGGCACGGCACCCCTGACAGATCCGCGCTTTGTTCAGACTACAGTGCAACAATAACAAATCCACTTCATCAAACGTACTCAAAGTTTAGTTATCATAAAGATAATTTATCATATGCAGTCAATAGTATCTCTCTATGCCGGCTCTGAAAGAAATTTGCCCCGTCTAACCATCCCATCATCAAGCCTGCTTCCCAGTAACCTCCCTCTCCTCATCCCGATCCCGTCCTAACCCCCTCCCCCTCGTCCTCAACGCAGCAAGCCTCCTCCTCACGCTCTGCATCTTCTTCTTCTCATTCGCCGTCGTGCTAGCAAGAGGTTGCGAGAGAGATGACCTCCTCAGCCTGCTCAGCTGTGTCGACGCGCCGAGCGACGAGGGCGGCGACTTGCTCTGGTTTGCGGCCGCCAGCTTGTCCAGCTTGCGGGCCTCGAAGAAGTTGGAGACGCGCCGGTAGAGGTGCTTCGCTTTGCCTGTGGTGATGAATTCGTAGATTTGGAGGGAGAGGGCGATGAGAAGGAGGGTGGCGACTAGACTTAGGACTGGGGTTGTGTTGGTTAGAGTACCGTGGTAAGGGATGTTGTGGTCAAGGGTGACTTACCACACGTGAGGATGAGCGTTCCGGGACTGATGGGTGACGGTACGCCCTCAATGGAGATATCAAAGATGCCTGTTTCAAATAGTCAGTCTCATTCTACTTTTTCTGAAAAGGATCTCGAGGAGGCCTCCTCCAGGCTGCGCACCTGTTGCCCAAGACAATGGAGCCTGTAAAGGTCAGCTTTGCTATCCCTTGCGATACACCGGCAAGAGGGGGGAATCAACTCACAAATACAACCGTCGCCCCGGTAAAGATGAAGAGGATCTTCGACTGCTCGCTCGCAGACAGTGCTTCCTCGATGTTCGCCTCCCTCTGCCTCAAATCCAACAACGTAGTAATCTACCCATCACGTCAGCCATGGCCCCAACACCTCATCACGGAATCTATGACTTACTGAATCCCGAACCCGATTCGCATCCTCCTCTAGCCTCTTGAAGAAGTCCAACGTCGGGTGCTTATACGGCTTGACGACACCACCACCCTGCTTCTCTCCGACTCCGACTCCGCCGCATAAACTCCCAACCTGCTCCGCCTCCGCCTCGCGGAACCCGTCGAATACCCGCTCCTGCGACCGGAGCACCCGCTTGATCATGTTAATCTCCTCTCGCACGTCGTCAATCTCCTGCAGGAGCTCAATCTCAGCGCGGAGGTCATCGAGTACCGTTTTGGATGTTCCCATTTTGCTGATGGAGGCTTTGAAGTTGGCGTAGCGCTTCATTGCTTCGTTGGACTTCGTTTTGAGGTATCAATGTCAGCTCTTGTCAAGTCCACCCCACTGTTCCCAAGCAGAGCACTATGCCCCTCACTAAAAAAAAGTAGAGTCAACTTACAACGTGAGCAATGGACGCCGCAAAGATGTTACAGTAACTCCGCGGCCCTTCGAACTGGAAGTGGAACTCCTCCTCGCTGTATTCCACCGCGCTCTCGAGGATACTCTCCACGACGCGCATCATGTCCGTGTTCTCGGACCGCATATCCCTAGTCCCCAGCACGCGGTGCTTGATCTGGTTCAACAGCGTCTTTGCGTTCTTGTTATCCCACCGATCGGGGAACGCGGTGATGATGGTGTCTGCAAAACAGAGGTATCGTCAGCTTTCGTTGAACATCGAGAAACACCTATACGTCCCGTTCTCGTCCTCATCCATTCACACTCTTTTTGCCCGGAACAAGCCACATAACAGGAAAAGGATAAGACTCACTCTCATCAATCCTCCAAATCCAAAGCTGCGCAACAACCAAAATCTGCTTCCTCCTCTCCGTATCCATCCTCCTCTTCTCCCGCGAAATCTTGGCCTGCACACTACTCGCCTGATCCTGCCTTCCCGCCATCCTCCCCAGCTCCGCCTTGGTCCCGTCCGTCTTCTTCTGCTTGGAGCTGCTCTGCCTCGAATACGCCCTCTGCGCATGCCGATCAAACGGGTTCTGTTGATGCTGCTGCGTCTTTTGCTGCTGCTGATGCACCCTCGTCGACGCGATCCCGTCTTCTGTGAGAGGCTGCTTTCCCAGCACATCATCCGCAATCGTGTCACCTGCAGTCGACGACCCGGCTGCCGTGGTCCCCGTCGTCGTGGTGCCTCCCGCAGAGGCAGCAGAAGCAGCTAATCGGCCCTCCACGCGCCGAAGATAGCGGAATAACACCTGACTTTCGTTCCGAAGGGCAAGGTCGCTTGCGCTGAGACTCTCGTGGTACGACTGATCCAGTGATCTCGGGACATGTAGCTCAGATTTCGTAAACGTCGCGCGCATCTTGGCCATGGCGTCAAAGTGCGCTAGGTGGGGGAAGAGGTAATGCTGCAAGTTCGTCGGCATCGCGCTGAGGGGGTGCGGTCTCTGAACAGGCGGTGCTCTCCTGTCGTTTCCTGCTGCCGCCGCCGGTACAGCCACCGCGCCGCCGCCGACCATCTCCATCGGGCGGAAGACCTTGGCTTCATCGCCAATGTGTACGTCCTGGAGACTTCTCTTCGTGCCCTCGTCGATATCGACGTCAATGACGGGGAGAACGAGAGAGAACATCTGTGATCTCGGCGGCGGTGCTGCTGCTGCTGCCGGACCGGCTGGCGGTGTCCCCGTTACCTCCGGTCCGAAACTCACCTCCGGCATCCCAGTCCCACCACTTCCATCCGTCGCCGCCCCGGCAGCAGCAGCAGCAGTAGCAGCCTCCATCCGAAAATGCGGCTTCCGATACGGCGCACTGATACGAATCTCCTGAAACGTCTCCTCGATGAACGCAATCATCCGGTTACACTCCGCATCCGGCCGCCCGTCCACCGCGCAGATCCGCTGCACGAGGTCCATCACCCACGCGACGTTATTCGCAGGAAGATGGAACCACCGCTTGATAGGCCTCTGGTCGTTCTTGTGAATGCTGCTGGTGGCGCGTGTAGTACCACCACCACCACCACCGGTCGTATGTGAACTCTTGCGGCGCTGCTGGCTGACGTGCTTCCGCATCTCCTTCATATTCAACCCGCCCGGGCTCCCAGGCGGCTGAAGGAGAGGAGAATGCGGCGGCGAGTGAGACGGTGTTTGAAGGGGCGATAGCTTCGGACTCCCCGCGGGACTCTGCGCTCTCGAATGCG